TGTACTATATATAGTACGTCCCGTGCGTTCTACAAGGGGGGGTAGATAGTTCATTCTCCAATTGATTTACCAAGTCTATTCGATCGATCCTGGCGACTCCGAACCAACGTGTCACATATACCGAATCATTCACACAATGCATTTATATATATATATATATATATATATGATTGTTTTCTGTTCTGGCTTAGAATTTGGACAAGTACTTGACCTTGAATGACGCGATTCAAGCCGCGGAACGCCTATACAGTACAGCCATGACTCGACCCACAAGTAGCCCTCGCAATCGCAAACACAAGCCAGACGAAGAAGCCATGATTTCCCCTAATAAAGCTGCCAGAGGCCTGGATCTCGACAAGAATGATGATCCTTTTGCTCTGTTTGCCCTCGAACGTGTACGACAGCAACAACAACATCAACCGATATCTGCCAAATCCCCCGAGAGATTTCCCCAAGGGCCGCCGCCGCCCGCCGCCGTCGCAGCTCCAGATTTGATCTCATGGGATGAAGATATAGGGGCAGTGGTTGCGAAGACCAACCCGTTTGACGAGGCCAACGACCCACTGACCAAGCCTACTACGAATCCATTTGATCTGATGTAAATACTGCTAAAAGTCGTGGAAATCAAATCGTAACGTTATGACGGATCCCTGGTCTAAAGTCGGATTTAGTATGGGGTTTTGGACGGGGGAGGGGGAAAGATTAGTTCCTATAGGTATCATCTATCTCTGAGAAAGGAAACCTATGAATATAAATAAATTTATAATTCAAATTATAATTATTTATTTATAAATTGAATAACAGCGCGCCCAACGTGGTCGTAGTTTGTATTCCGTTAAAGTACCATATATATATACCGTGTACATGGTGCATTTCACCGAAATTGAACGTGATTTCGCCAAATATGTAAGTTAGCTGATCCAAATTCACAGCGTGTAAGACTCTACTATGTACGTAGTACTACTACTGTATAAACTATACGGAAGTACTATATACTAGTAACGAATAGAATATACTTTTGGTTTGCCCAGTTAAACGGTTGGATGGACAGCAATTCACCAAGACGTGATTTGATTGGCTGGTTGGCGGTTCTTTCATCGGTTATTGTGCTGAGGGCTTCAGTTTTGAATGGATTTGACAATACTATATGAAGTACCGGTAGGAATAAGGTAGTTCTGTAGTCGTTTTGAACCAACAGCCCCAACCCCCCGACACGAACTAACGTTACTACTATAAACAGGATTGTCTTCTCTTAATCCAGAGTAGTTGGTAGTATTGTCAAATCGATTCAAAACTGGAGCCCTTCAGCAGAATTGGCAAACTCACAAGTCCAAATTTGGGGGATAGGTACAGTAGTTATGGTCACCTAGAAACTTCCAACATTTCACAAAATCGTGGGGCTGTTCTTTCACACGTAACTAGTTAGTACAGTGAATGAGGGAATTTAAGCCACACTGCAAGTTCGTCTGAGTATAACAAATCAGAATCATGTTTGGTTTGATTTGTCAAAATAACCCATGTTGACCAATCAGACTTCAAGATTTCGATTCTACTTTGATTCAAAGTGTGGCTTAACAACTAACTCCATATTTATATATATATATTTAACTAAAATATTTGGGTAATCTATTCCATTGCAAAGCCTAATAATGTCGTAATTAGGTGGATATTCCCATCTACCAATGGTTTGGCAGTGTCGAAACCACAGGCGTAGCTTGTATGTGTGGCCCTCACTGTTGGAGCTTGGGAGCTAGCGGCAAGCCGCTCCCCTCCACTCAAATCCTAGTGTCCGACCCACAACCAACCTATATATTGGGTGAAAGCCAGGTAAAAATTCGGACTCGTTATTGTTTATTTAGGGTAAATAACCCCCCAATTGTGGCTTCTTTCGTATATCGAAACTATGGTTCAAAGTAATACTTCATATATATATTCGACCAATTTTGGTTATCACGTACTATGGAAGAGGGAAGCGCGTTGCACACCACAAACTTACACCTTTCAGAAAAATAGATGAAC